TTGTGTAAAGCGCATTTGTACATCGTTTCTCAAAACATTTTCTCTCCATTTAAACCCCCGACATTAGGTCCTCATTTTTCCCCTCCCTCCCCGCCCTGAAGATCTTTAAAAGACAAGCAAAACTCATTTTAAAAAATCCATTCGTTTAAATTATAACAAGAGGGATTCCAAAAGTTCATAGATTTCATTATCTTTTCGCGGACATTTTTGGAAGTTTCAGTTCTCAAAAGCAGCAACTGCAGCACATTGAGGGATGGACACTGTTTCATTAAGCAAGGAGGGACGGACACTGTTTCATTAAGCAAGGAGCCCACAGGTGCCCGCGGGCCGCCTTCAAACGCCAGGGTCACCTTGGATGGCTTCGCTGATAAAGCAACATTCCTTCTGGCGCTGGGTCTGGCACTAGGGACCGTGGCCGCTGTGCTGGGCGCCCTGCAGTCCTGCGGCCATAGCCGTCAGGGCAAGTGTTGGCAGGACCAGGCAGTGGACTGTCCCGGGCGTCCCCGCTCATTAAGACGCTTTCTAATCTGAGCTTGGGGGAACCAGGAGATGCACTGGGTCCTTTCCCAAGGCCCCCAGCCTGGGAAGGGGGTTCTCTTGGCGCGTCCTTGCTGGCTCTCTCCTCTCCGCGCACCTCCCGGGTCTGGAAGCACTGTCTCCCGTACCCCCACCGGGTCCTCCCCCCCGCCTCCCACGTCCGGGGTTCGAGTCCCGGCAACGGTGCATCCTGGGGCGCCCCGTCCAGCAAACACGGCCGGCCCCCCAGGAGTCCGAGGCTCCAGTAGCCGCCCCCAAGCCCCTGCTTTAGAGAGATGGAAGGGAGAGCCACGGAGAAAATCGCTGGCGCAGGAGCCAGCACCTCCGGGGAGGTAGAGTTAGGGGTTCTGCCCCTCCCGCAGCCCCAACCCCACACCCGCTTCCCGTGCCGCGCTTCCTGCTGTCCCCCACTCAAACTTCTTCACTGCCCCCACCCAGGCCCCTCCCGGCTTTCCCGTGTCCCCTCCCTACTCCTGGCCCGGCTTCCCGAGTCGCCTCTCGCGCCCCCCGCCCTTGGCGCCCCCTTCTCCAGGCTGTCCCTCCCCAAAGCCTGCCTTTCCCTGTCCCCTAGCGGAGCTTCTCCGGTCCCCTCCCCGCCCCCTCCTCGGGTTCCCGAGTCCCCTCCCCGCCCCCGTGGTAAACCTGGAGCGCAACGCGCGGCTAGGTGCGCGCCCAAGTCCCAGCCAGAAAGGCGCGGTCACAGGCGCTGGCGCCGCGCGAGGAGCGCGGGCTCCCGGCTACCATGAGACCCGCGGCGGCGGCGGGACCCCAGGAGGCGCGCGGCCGCGGCTGTCACTGTCCCGTGGACGGTCGGGAAAGACCACCTCCGCCGCATGGGCCCGAGAGGTGAGGGCGACCCCATGACCCCTTTGGAGAGGCGCGCGACAGTGGTGCAGAGCTCAGCTAGCCGGATGCTCCGGGCGCCCTGAGCCCTGAAGCCAGGCTGAGTCCCCAGCCAGTTCCTTAGAGAGCGCGCCGGGTCGCCTTGCTCCCTATCCAGACGCGCAGTTCTCCGGTGCACGGGCTCGGGCTCGGGAGGTCCCTGGCGGAGAAATGGCCAGCACTTTGCTTCGCAGAAGATCTGGGAAAGCAAGCTAGGAAAAGGGGTCCCCCATGTGCACTGTCACCAAAAAGGTCTTGTCCCTGTTCTGGGAACTTGGCGTTCTCTGTCCCAGAGTACCCGTCCTTTTTTAAGGTCGTAAAGTTGAAGATTTAACTGTTCTCCATTTTGTGATTTGATCTTATCCTCCATTTTTGCCGATTTCCCCGTAACTAGCCATTTAATAGAGGAGCTCTAGTTGCGCGTTGGGCAGCGATCGGAATGGTTGGCAGTTCGAAACCACCAGCTACTCCGCGGGAGAGAGACTGGGCTTTCTACTCCTTGGAAATCCACAGGGGTCGCTATGAGTCAGCATTGACTAGACGGCAGTGAGTTTGTGTGTGGGGTTTTTTTGGGGGGGAGTTGGGAGGTTGAAGGAAATCAAATTAGACGGGGAGATGGGGAGTAGGCAAGGACAGTTAGACCTTCTGAAGGGGCTGGGTAGGTTAGGCAACAGGGGGGGAGGGGGTAAGAAATAGCACCTCTCTTTTATGCACCACAGAACTTTGTAAATCAAGACCTTTCACTACTCCAAGAGGTGCAACTGAGAGCAGCAATGGATTAACAGTAGAGCTGTCCCCACTGCCAGCCACGTGGGCAGTCCTGGCGTGCACAGGGAGAAGAATCCCTGCAGTACTGTGTCCTCTGCAGGGCTCGGATTTGGGACTTATTCTCAAAGCCCAAAGAAGGCCAATAATTTGAAATGTGCCCAGGAGAGAAAAACCATAAGTGTGAAGGGCTATCTGGAGGGTTCTCAGGGGCAGATAGTAGAAATGATCAAAATGATAATTCGTATGAATATAAGTTTAAAGAAACACAGCAAGAAATTCACGGCTGTCTGCCCCTCTCTCCTGCTTGCCACTCTCATGGTCCTTGCCTCCCCAGCTCCATACTCTGGAGACCTTGGCGCCTCACATCGGAAGATACTGGACTGAGGAGACCAGGAAGACAGGTAAGGTGAAGGCTGGGCGTTGTAGGTATCAACCAGTCCAGCCAGAAAGTGGTACAAGCTTTAAAGTCAACGGACTGTGAAAAGGCTTCCTCCACCTACTCGGTCATCCAGTCCAGGAGTGCCTGGGGTCTGGGAGTGGGAGCCTGGGTGATAGAGCTGTTAATCACATCTGAGTCACATCGAGACTGTGTTCCTGCTGGCTTTATTCCTTCTTGGAAAGAAAGAAGCTGCTTCAATGTGAAAATACAAAGGCTTTCTTGCATGTGGGGTTTCATCTGCACATCTGTAGGTAGATGGGCAGAGAGAAGGTTGTGGTGGCCCTCTCCCCTGTTGAGAAGAGCTAAATGCACCATTAGGACTGCCCTGGTGTCACAAGACAAATAAAGCAGAGTCCCGTCTCAGGTGCCCAGAAGGTCTAAGTTAAAAGCCCCACCAGCCGTCTGGCCCTTTCTGAAGCACTCTCGACCGCTGTCCGAAAGCACTTCTGGGAAAATTCGTGTTTTCTGAGCAAATACACTCAAGGCCAGGGCTTTGTGGGGGAAGATTAATGGCCCTCATGATTCTTTTGTTAGTCGACACTAGTAATACAGTTGCTTTCTACTGAAGCCGTGACCTGCTTTCATGGAATTTACCTTCCCTTGGTTAATACCGTTTTAAAAATAAATATATGACTTTCCCAACACAAAGATAATTAATCTGAGTAAAGCCATAAATTTCATTTTTATAACACCTGTAGCATATGGTTTAATATGTTAAGGAAAGTCTAGTGCAGGGAAGCAGACTTTTGCTTTATCTTTGATATTTTGGCTACTGTATCAAATTAATGCAGCCATTGAGAATTTTAATTATGTTGTTATTATGTGTGTGAAGTAAGGAAGCCAATAAAACGTCTATCTAATGAACAAGGGTTTTTTTAGCTTCACTTATTCTACATGCAATATCTAGGTAATGTAAACCATTTGCTTCTTTAGCATTCAAGTTTAAGCTCTGAAACAAGCTTTAAAGGAGCTTGGTGGGGAAAGAGAGAGACGTAAGGAGGGAATAGAGAAATTCACAATGATCCAGTTTTCTTTTCAAGGTAATATATGTGGGACCTATCAGTTATTTGTAAGACTAAAAATAGGATAGCATGCTCTCTAATGTGAGACAGGCTCACCCCCCTCCCCCATTGTGACGACAAGGTTATTTGTGAGAAAAATGACACTGACTTACAGAAAAAAATGTTAGGTAATCTAGCTGCTCATCAGCCTGGCAGACGGAGTGAAGCATGAAGCCCTGATGACTCAGTGGTTACACTGGGCTGTGACCTGAAAGGTCAGTAGTCTGAGATCATCAGCCTTTCCTCAGGAGAAAGATAGGGCTTTGTTGTTGTTGTTGTTATTATACTCTTGTAGAGAGTTAGTCTCCGAAATCCGCAGGGATAGTGCGACCCTGCCGTACAGGGTCCCCATGAGTCGGTATCAGCTCAATGGCAGTGAGTTTGGCTTTTGGTTCTGGGGGAAGAAGATAACCTGGAGCCCTTGTGGCATGGTGGTTATGCTTTGGGCTGCTAACCACCAGGTGAGCAGTTTGAAACCACCAGCCAGCTTAGAGGGATGGGGCATTTGACTCTTGGAAATTCACAGTGGCAGTTCTACCCTGTCTTATTGGGTCACAGCTACTGAGAATTGACTGAATGGCAGTGAGTTATTTGTTTGCTTTAAGGTGAGGAAGGTAGTTTCCCCTAGCTGGTCCCTTGAAGCACAGACATGACCTAGTCAGGTGGCCAGCACTGAGCAAACAACTACAGGCCCCAGCACCTACTTGGAGCCCCCTGAAGGGCAAGGGTCACCCTCCCAGAACTCCCACTCCACACCCCATAGGGAGGAAATGCTTCTTGCTCAACCAAGACCTCTCCCCCACAGAGCAGGAGAATGCCTAGGCTCCAGAGCCCTGTTTATTTCTGAAGAAGTCTCATTATCACTAGGAAGAATGGAGCAAGACCAGAGAGACTGTCTACTGACCTTCACCAGAGCAAAATTAACACAACAGCTAAACTTGAGGAAAGGTCTTCAGGCCCTGTGCCCTGAGCGCTGGCTTCACCCACTTAGTGTGCTCTACTCTCACCCACTTGGTATTCCAGCACCCCTGAGGGGTTGGCTCTCTCCTGTACCTGGGGAAATTGCATTCCTCTCTGGGCCATCTGTTGGCCCTGCCAGGCAGTTGGTTTCCTCAAAGAAGTCATGTCTGTCTGTTCTACGGGGCCTGTGCTCACGTCTTCTAAGCGGCCCACACCTTAGCCTTAACCTGGGAGGGCAAGACCCTTACTGAAGGTCTCTGCTGCGATCTGCTTTCCTGTCCTTCAGAGCAGATACACATAATGTGTCTTAAACACAGTGCTTACACTGGGTGTTGCAAGCAGTTTGCAATTGGCTACTACCCTAAAGGTTGACTGTTCAAATCCACCTAGAGGCTCCAAGGAAGAAAGGACTGGCGATTGGCCTCTGTAAAGATGACAGGCAAGAAAGCACTCTGGAAAAGTTCTGCTGTGTAATACATGTTGTTGCTATTTTCCTTTATAGATATTCCAGTTCCCTTTTGATTATCAAGGTGTGACTATTTAGTTATCTCTGCCCCAGGAAAGGGGTCTTTGGAAAACAATCAAGATACTGGTACCACAAATATTTTTTTAAAATGTTTATGGTGGTGAAATAGATTTAACAAACTATTTGCCACGTCAAATGTATATATATAGACATATATTTGTAGAGTTTTTAAAGTATATTTTAAATATAGACCAAACCAACTGCCATCAAGTCAGTTCTGATTCATACGATCCTTGGGCTGTAAATCTTCCTGGGAGCAGATAGGCTCATCTTTCTCCTGAGGTAGGTTTGAACCTTGGGCCTTGTGGCTAGCAGTGCTTATCCAACCTTGTGGGTGGCTGTGCTTACCTGACAGTTCTCCATACATACATCAATTGTGTCAAGCACATTTGCACATTCATTGCCCTCATCATTCTCAAAACATTTGCTCTCCACTTAAGCCCCTGGCATCAGCTCCTCCCCGCTACCCGCTCCCTCATGAACCCTTGATAATTTCTAAATTATTATTATTTTGTCATGTATTACACTGTCTGATGTCTCCCTTCACCCACCTTTCTGTTGTCCATCCCCCAGGGAGGAGGTTATATGTAGATCCTTGTAATTGGTTCCCCCTTTCCACCCTACCCTCCCGGTATCGCCACTCTCACCAGTGGTCCTGAAGGGATTATCCGCTCTGGATTCCCTGTGTTTCCAGTTCCTATCTGTACCAGTGTACATCCTCTGGTCTAGCCAGATTTGTAAGGTACAATTGGGATCATGATAGTGTGTGTGGGGGGGGAAGAATTTAGGAACTAGAGGAAAGTTGTATGTTTCATCATTGCTAAACTACACTCTGACTCGCTCGTCTCCTCCCCATGACCCTTCCATAAGGGGATGTCCAATTGCCTACAGATGGGCTTTGGGTCTCCACTCCGCACTCCCCCTCATTTGCAATGATTTGATTTTTTTGTTCTTTGATGCCTGATACCTGATCCCTTCGATACCCTATGATTGCACAGGCTGGTGTTCTTCTTCCATGTGGGCTTTGTTGCTTCTGAGCTAGAAGGCCGCTTGTTTACTTTTAAGCATTTAAGACCCCAGACGCTATATCTTTTGATAGCCAGGCACCATCAGCTTTCTTCACCACATTTGCTCATTCACCAGCTTTGTCTTTGGCGATTGTGTTGGGAAGGTGAGCATCATGGAATGCCAGTTTAGTAGAACAAAGTATTCTTGCATGGAGGGAGTACTTGAGAGGAGGCCCAATGTCCATCTGCTACCTTAAACTAAACCTATAAATATATGCACATAAATCTATTTTCCCATCCTCATATATAAATATATTTACATATGTACATGCCTTTATTTAGACCTCTATAAATGCCCTTTACCTCCTAGCTCTTTCCTCTATTTCCTTTGACTTTCTTCTTGTTCCACTATCATTGTTCAGCCTTCATTAGGGTTTCAGTAATTCCTCTCAGTTACATTACCCTTGGTCACACCCTACCAGGCCTCCTACACCCTCCTCACCACCGATTTGGATCACTTGTTGTTCCTTTGTCCCTGATTTCATAGGATAGTTAGGGGTCCCTGGGTGACTCGATTACAATATTAGCTAAAAGGTTGATGGTTCAAACCTAGTCAGAGGTGCCTTGGAGGACAGGCCTGGCAATCTGCTTCCCAAAATCACAGCCGTGGAAACCCTGTGGAGCAGCTCTACTCTGCCCTTGTGGGGTCACCTTGAGTTCGAATTGACTCCGCAGCAACTAATGGCAATAGTTAGGACCTGGCCCTTTAAGAAAGTTCCATTTTCTTTGTGTCTCAACATGGCCTCTTAGTCTCTACCCAAGTTTGTCTTAGTGTCTACCAAGTAGCCTTAAACCCTGTGTCATACCAGGGCTTGCTGAAATGTACTCAAATCCAGTCTTTCCTGTGCTTTCCCAATGCTGTTATTGTTGCTATTAGCTGCTGTCAAGCCAATTCCCAACTCATGGTGACCCCATGCATGACAGAATGAAATGTGGCTGCCTGCTCAGTCCTGCACCATCCCTGTGGTCACTTGGACCATTGAAGCCAGTGGGTTTTCTTTGGAGGGTTTTCAATGAGATTACCAGGCCTTTCTTTCCTGTCAGGAAACTTGGTGGAAATCCATTCAACATTCTTGTTCTGAAACCCATTCAACATTCTTGTTCCATGCCATTGAGGTGATTCTGACTTCCAGAGACTCTAGATGACAAGGGTCCCCAGGAGGTTTTGTAGGCTATAATGTTTACGAGGGCAGAGTGGCAAGTCTGTCCTTCCATGGAGCCGCAGTCAGCAGCCAAGCCCTTCACCACGGTGCCACCAGGGCTCCTTCTCAGCCTCCTAGCAGCATGCAAGCTTCCTCTCAGACAGGTGATGGCTGCTCATGAGGCGTAATCTATACTGAAGGCTGTAGTCTTTGATCTTCATCAGCAAATGCAGCAAGTCCTCTGCTTTCAGCAAGCAAGGCTATATCATTTTTATATGGCAGGTTGTTAGTGAGCCTTCCGCTGATCCGGATGCTGTGTACTTCTTCATATAATCCAGTCTCTCTGATGATTCGCTCAGCACACAGACTGAATAAGTATGGTGAGATGATACAACCCTGATGCACACCTTTCCTGATTCTAAACAGTTCAGTCTCCCCAGTTGTTTGAACAGCTTCCTCTTGATTTATGTATAGGTTCCATATGCGCACAATTACGTTGCTTGCATATTGTACAGTTATTTACATCCATGGGTGTCTCTTTCCCATTAGACTGTAAAATCTCTTACACCAAAGGGCTCCATCATACCTCTCCATTGTTGACCCCTCTCAATGTCCTGGACGTTGAACAGACAGCAGGATTGGGAAGGAGGGCCTGCCTCTAAAATACTGTTCAGACTGTAGAGTCTCTCAAATTGCTACTGTACTGGAAAATGCAGATGACTTACAAATGCTCTTAAAAACTCTTCAGGATGAGTTTTTGGCTGTCTCTGAGTTAGTATGTGTGTGTCTTTACAGATTGAGCCGGGGGGTGACCAACAAACGTTTGGATCGAAGGGAGCCTTTGGGTTCCAGCATCCTGTAAGGTAATGTATGACTTCACAGACAGTTCCCTTGTTTCCAACATAGTCACTCCCTCACTATTTCAATTGAAGATTGGGATGGGTCCTCTTTCTTCATAGCTTTTGTTAATACTTCTCATTACATATAATGCCTTGTGTTAAGTTTAATTTTATGTGAAGTGCATGTGAATATACACTTACTTATTTAGATGTTAACATTTCTATACCTCCCCCAGGATATAAGCTAAGATTTTGTTAAGTATATAAAAAAAAACCAAGCAGGCAAACAAACAAAATCACTTGCTGTTGAGTTGATTCTAATTCATGGACTTCCCATCTGTGTCAGAGTGGAAGTTCAACTCCACCCAGACGCCCTCAGCAGAAAGACCTGGCAATCTTCTGCCAAAGGACTGGCCACATGGACCTTTAAAATCAGATTCCTGTGTACTAATGAAGAAAGGTGGAACTGATGATAATGAAAGAATAAGTCCAGTGCACTGAAGGCATTGGCAATAAAACAAGACTCCAGGAAATAGTGCAATGTCAATTGAGATATTTCAATAAACAGATGCAACACTGGAAATGTTTACTCTTCTATACCAAGAAATTTGGAAGACAGTTATCTGGCCAACTGACTGGTAGAGATCCATATATGTGCCTATTCTAAACATAGAGGATGCTGTAGGAAGAAGAAACTATTGATTTTTATATATTAACCTTGAACCCAGCCAAAGATTAGTTAGAACTAATTTTTCTATTAGTTCTAACAATTTTTTGGTCAGGTCTTTGGGGTTTTCTATGAATAGAATCATATCACCTACAATAGAGGCAGTTCTATTTCCTTGCCAGGTTGGATGCCTTTGATTCCTTGTTGTTGTCTAACCGCTCTGGCAGAGACTTCCAGCACAATGTTGAATAAGAGTGGTGTTCATGGATAGGAAGACACCCAGTGCATGTACATTTCTTCGTTTTAGTCCAGTGACAGACATGTTCGGGATCATTACATACCTGTTGCTGATTCTCATATGCCTTGCACTGAAATTACCATACTCTCTGCTGCCACCCCTGGGTGGTACAAATGTTAGCACACTTGGCTGTAACTGAAAAGTTTGAGTGAGGTTTGAGCCTACCCAGAGGCACCCTGGAAGAAAGGGCTCGTGATCTATCCCCCCACCCCTATCCCACCTCCACCCAAATTATCCACTGGCAACTCTCTGGAGCAGTTTTACTCTGATGCACACGAGGGGACCATGAATCGAATCCACTCACTAGCCGCTGGCTGTCTGCTGTCACCACACTATGGGTCTCCTAATCCAGGTTGTCTTAGAAGTCTGATGAGCTTTAATAAAATGCCAAGATGCTAATTTCTTGAGAGTGTTTTTGAAACAGGAGGTTTTCCTAAGCTCTCTGATATCCATGATTGTCAGTATTACTCATTACTGGTCACTCAGGAAACTATAAATACAGAGGCCTGAAGGGCACCACAGAGACTCGGAGTCGTGTGTTCTGGGGATAAGCATCTGGATCTTTAAGGGCTCTCCAGGTGACCCTCTCATTCCCCAGGGTGGGCACCACCACCCTACTTCATCCCCTATAAATGTTCAGTTGCACCCCTTGCTCCTAGATTGGCCACAGCAGCAGACACAGTTCCCTGAATTTTGATTGGTTGAGAATGTAGGTGAGCTGCAGTCACATAACTGTGCATTATAAATTGAGTATATAATTTTAGTGTATATGTAGTTTTTGATCTACCTTGTGAAAATGGAAACCATCAAGCAGGCACAAAGGTAGAGAGGACTCTAATGAGCCGTGGACCCATCCTCCAGCCTCATTCATTCTTTTGATCAACGTTCTTTTGATCTTCCTCCCCACCGCACAAGCTGTGGGGCTTTTTTTCTGTCGCTGTTAAGGGTATGTTACAACATATCACAGATATCATGCCAATTCATTTGTAAATACTTCAGCATATGTGCCATTTTTCCCTCTTTCTATTGTGGTGTAAATATTTATAAAACATATGCCCTCTCAATCATTTCTACATCTACAGTTATGTGCCATTGATTGTGTTTTTCAACTTGTGCAACTGTTCTCATCGTCCTTTCTAAATCATTCCACCAGCAGTCCCATACAGTCGCTTCTCTCTCAGCACACGCTCTCCCTCTCCTCCTCCCTGCACCCCGGGGAGCCACTAATACCCTATGGGATCTCTATATCGTACAGAGAGGTCGTATTTTTATCTATTATCTTTGTAGAGATTTCCTATCATTTTGTACACATGATATCATTGTGTTAGGCTGGGATGGCAGTGATACCCATAAATGTATGAGAAAGAACTTTCTATCAAGGAGGCAGCCCAGCCCGGTCCAATTCAAGTCCATGGGGTCAGTGCTAGCTAGAACCCTCTTCAGACTCACAGAGATGCAGGTCAAGTGATGCTGTAGAAAGGGGAAGTAAGAAGCAGGGAGATCACGGGCCGGCAGGTGTGTGCAGAGTCCAGTGGACCCAAGGTGGGTGGGAACATGGCAGGGTGCCAGCAGCTCCCTGGGTTCACGGCCCACACGTGGCCACCCCTGAAGACAGACACAGAATCCAAGCAAGGACTAAGAGCGAAGGGGCAGAGAGAGGGACGTTTTCACTGAGACGCTTCCTACATTGTTTATGGAGGGCACTGTGCTCTCCCCTTCCCCTTTCTAGAAGCAGGATATGAAATTCAGCTTTATGAATAAGTAGCTATCAATCAATAAACTTTCTGACTTCCTCAGAATACCACAGGGGACATGCAAATGAGCAAGTGAGTGAAAAGTACAGAGATAAGAGATCATGGTGAAGAGGGGGCAGGATATTTTAAATGCTTTCTATGTCTAGCTAGAATCTTAAATTCCACAAAGTCTGGAATTTGAGGGCTGTACAATTCACATACTTAAATGTCCATCCACCCCCACCTTTTTAAAAACAAGGTTTAACAAATAGCCAAGGTTCTATCTTGATGGAGCCAGGCACCTACTCCGATAGCCTCTCTAGGTCAATGTTTTAGAGTTAAATTTATTTCATAGCCCAAAGGGTTACCACATTTCTCATCCTGTGGTGGGAAGAATGTATGGGGGAGCAGAAAGTAGCACCCTCCTTAAATCTAACTCACTGACATCAAGTGCATTCCAGATCCCTGCAACCAGAGAGAGCCTCTCTGGGGTTCTGGGGCTATCAATCTTATGGGAGCAGAAAGCCTATCTTTCTCCGTCAGAGACAGGAGTCAGTTTGAACTGCTGACCTTGAGGTTAGCCATCCAACTCATCTCCCACTATGCCACCAGGGCTCCTTACATTCTCCAAGATGAACGAGGTTCAGTGATAGGATTTTCACCTTCCAGACAGGAGACCCACATGACATTTGTGGCCAACGCACCTTGTGCACAGTGACCACCCATCTGTTGGTGGAGGCCTGGGTGCTGATATGAAGCTGAACGGGATTCAGTGGGGCTCCCTCACTAAGAAGGACTAAGAAGAAAGGCCCAACAAGTTCCTTCAGAAGATAAACCAATGTCAACCCCGACAGCACAACTGGTCATGGCAGTGGTGCAGGGCTAGGCATAATTTACTCAGTTGTACACAGGGTCGCCTTGAGTCAGGTGCTGACTCGACAGGCAATCTGAGATGAGTCCGATCTTCCATTTGATCCTACGGAGCCTCTTAATCTCAGAACGCAAATGGTTTCCATTTCCTTTGACCTTAATTGAAGTATATCCCCCCACCCCACCATCAGTGTACAGTGATTGGTTCATTCAGATGATGGTCCATTCATTTCTAAGCTCGAGTGGAGTTTATTATCAGGTCCCGGGAACAAGGTGACTATTCATGTTCTGGTAATTTGAAAAGAAAAAGGGAAAGAAAACAAAACAACACACACACTGTATGCAGTGAGGATGAAATCAAAGTGTTAGCAGGTTCTCGGGAGAAAGATCTCCTAGGAGTTTGGGACAGAGTTCAAGTTCATTAATGGCATATCTGTTTCTTAACTATTAGACTTTACTTGCCCATCTCAAAGCGTCAAGAATATCTTCAGAGCTCCGGGGAGAAAGTGCTGGCCAGTTTCCCAGTGCAAGCCACCATTCACTTCTACAATGATGCATCTGATTCAGAAGATGACGGAGAAGGAGAGGAAGAGATCCAGCCCCCTGGCCTTCAGTGCCAAGAGGCAGAAGGCCCTGAGGGAAGAGGTCCAGGGAGCAAGTGCAGAGAGCACTTGATGCACCAAGAAGGGAGATGCCATGGGAGCAGAGGCCTCTGTAGGAAAGGTCTGCCCCCCCATGCTGACCATTCAGGGAATGTTGTGCACTCCTCACCCAAATAAATCAGGTCCCTCTCCCAAGCCAGCTCTGCTCTGGCACTCATCACCATGTCCTCTTGGGGACAACCCAGCCAGGACTCTCTGGAATCTTCTGTCGGGCTTACAGGGGGCGGGGCCGCTTTGGCAGCCTCTGGTCAGCGTTCCAGGCACGAGTGAAAGAACCTAGAGCACCCTTCTCTTCTCCTGTTGACCGTTCCCCGGGCACTCACAGTACACCCAAGAAAGGCTTAGAGGACCAAGAGGAGGTTTGGGTCAACATGGACTGTCGTCAGGCAGGGCCCACTTCAAGGCACACTGGGAGTTGATGCTCAGATGATCAAATTACAGATGATTTCTCTGTAGATTAAAAACTAAGGGGACCTGGTAGCTCACTGGGTAAGTAAGCACTCTTGGCTGTTAACTGAAAAGTCAGTGATCTGAACCCACCAGCTACTTTGTACTCTCACTGGATCGGGCACCCATGATTTAGCGCTTTGTCTACAGTATTTGCTTTTGTACAAATGATTTACGTATTGTCCTAGAGTTGATGTGGTCCTTGAGTGGCAGTCTGAAAACAAACAAATAAACAATCATGAGGGGGGAAAACTTCCTTGGAGGTTTTGTCCATAAGAGTAATAGAAATAAAAAGGCATGGGATTTAGAGGGACCAGTTCCAGATAAAAATTCGCATGCTTATTGTGTGTGATACCACTGTGAGTCTTGGTGTGGAAAGAGGAGACATTGAACTCTTCATAATTGGTGACTGCTTTGGCCTTGTTACTTGACTAAACCTGTTTTCAATGAAAGTGCCTAACATAAAACTATTTTTGGAGCTTTCCTACTTTGATAACTTTGATAAAATACATGTATTCCTCCAAGTTTCCTGACTTAACGCTTACATATGGTTGCCTTTTTGTATATACATAGCACATTATGTAGGTTGCTACTGGAAATAAATATTTTGGAATGGAAAAACTCTGACAAACACCTCTTTTAAAAAAATGTAATTAACTATGCTTTAAAGTCTTTTTTCAACTGTAGAGAGTTGTTATACTTAATGCTTTTATTTAAGTTGAATTTTAAAAATTGCATTTTTTATAATGCAAAAGGTACAAACACAAGAGAACAAAATAGCTTATAATCTCAAATCTCAAATAGCCTATTAATATTGTTTTAAAAAATAGGAGTATGACTTAGTTCTCTAGTGCTGCTATAACACAAATACCATAGCCAACAGACATTCATATTCTCATAAGCCTTCTTAAACCTTTTCTATGCAAGAATGCTGAAAAGCGCTGCCAGAAACATCTCAGACTCAGTCTGTGTGTGATTTTGAATTCGGTTTTGGTTATTGTGTATTCAGAAAGCTTTTACTGTTGCCGAATTTTTTAAGACATTCCCCCCCCTCCCCACTGAATTAGGTGACTCCACATAAGGTCATCACAGCTAGTTTTGGTTTTTATTTTTATCGGTAAATTGGTTTTGCTGGGAAAAACATAAGCCCTGTGGAAATCAGCACAGCAGAATTACCTTACCTTCAGAGGGTGGCTATTGCCCAGTCTCCAGGTCACCATTAAGAGACCCCGGAAGAACCCAAATCTAGCCTGCCGTCTTCTGGCACTAGCCACAGTGCCACAGTTTGAGATAGGGTTTTTTAAAAGATCCATAACCATCAGTCTATCCCAACTCGTGATAGTTCTTCCTTCAAATCAGGTCCACTCAACTCAACTCGCCGCCATCAAGTCCATCTGGCTCAGAGTGACCCTAGAGGGCAGCGGTTCTCAACCTGTGGGTCGCGACCCCTTGAGGGTCGAACGACCCTTTCACAGGGGTTGCCTGATTCATAATGGTAGCAAAATTACAGTTATGCCACCAGGCCTGGAGGACAATATCCCTGCTCTGAACAGCCTGTGGACAGAGTGGACAATATGGCTGATCCCACCACGAGACACGCCATCCCTTGATAGCCCCGGCTCTAAGGGGGACAACGCTGGAGACTCAGTGTCGGGACTGGCCCAGATGGACCCTGAGACACCGAGGCAAACCACAAAAAGCGTGCAGCAGAGCAACTATGGGAGCAGAGCAGAGAGCCCCCGAGGGAGTACAAAGGACAGACTCTGGGGTCAGAGCATGGTACCTCATCGGTCCTGACTGAAGGACACGCCTAGAGATAAAAAATCAGACCTTGATCTATTTACAGGTTTTTCTTTCTGCTTAAAATTTTT